TGTTCACAGTGCGGTGAGTTCACAAACGATTTTTATTTTAGCACTGTTTTTAATTCACCATGTGGTTCTCATTCTGGCTGTCCTACGGGACTTGCTACGTAACCAGTTTCTCCCGCAATATACCATTGTTCCAATTTTCATCAAATCTTGAACGGTGGTTTCCTCAAAGCCACCAGTGCCCGACTACGGATCCCCACGTGGGACCATACCGCCCAAAAAAGATCATGTTGTGCCCATCTCCGCACCTGAATTTCGCTCATTTCTAGGCGAGATGACCGGCTCAGCGCCTGGCGTCGACCGCATCATACCGAAAAATGAACTTATGGATACCCACTTCGTTACATCTTTTCTGAACTGTGTTCTTGTCTCTTACCCATACCCCTCTCAATTTAATATGACTAAAGTCAGCTTCATCCAAATGATCCCGTCTCCCATGCTTCCCAAACATTCCGCCCAGAATCTGTGGCCTCCGTTTACACTGGCCTTTTGCTTCATATTCTCTTCGAGCGCTGGATTTCCTCCTTTCCATCGGACTGCCTAAATTTGGTTTTCTTAGCAAAGACAGAAATTTTGTGGCCCATTCTCTCCTTTATTTTCTGATTCGCTCCTCTCTCCTCCACTGCTCACCACTCTCTTTCTCCTCTGTGGACATTTCCAGGGTCTTCGATTTCATCTCACATGACTCCTTAATTAGAGCTTCATCTACTTTAGGGCCCCAAACTTTTTTAATAAGTACCTGTCTTCCTAGTCTTCATCGTCTATCTCAACGATTCACGTGGTGCAAATTCCCCAGGAGCGAGGCGTAAAACAAGGGGACCCACGTTCACCCCTAAGTTTTATCATGACGCTCAACGAAGCACTTCAAAAACCAGCCTCCTGTCGATGGATGAGACCCGTAGGCCCGGTTAATTGGATTGCACACGTGGACGAAGTGATCATCGTGGCACAAAACCAATTTGTGCTACAAGAACTAATCCCGACTTTTAGCAACGACCGCCAGCTCATTAGCTTTTTCATAAATCAGATGCAAACTAAGACTGTAATTATCGTCATCAATAGATCCAGAAGAGAGCGTTGCTGGACACTTCTGACCTTCAAGCAGGATCGAGGATTCCTCCATCAGTCCAACCGACTTATTCATCTAACTTCCTGGGTTTACCTTTTAACTGACACTGCAATCTACTACCTCATTCCATCGATGAGCTCCGTCAGCAACTCCAGGGAACTTTGCAAGCAACATTAAAACCACACCAACGAGTCGAAATTCACAGTACCTTCCTCATCCCACGACACATCCCCAGCCTCTCGCTGGCAGTGATATATCGAGTCACCCTCGAAACGATGGACAAATTAATCAAGGCTAATGTTCTCAAATAGTTAAGGTTACCCAAGGATACAGTCTTTGCCTTTTTCCATGCAACCATCATTGACCACGGCTTAGGCATTCATAGCATCTCAAGCATGTTGCCGTTACTTCGGAAAGATAGATTGGAGCAAAACCTTTCCAACCCGAATGCCATCTTGAGGTTGGCCATTCGTAACCACTCTATCTCTGCGATACATCGGTTCGCTAATTTACCACTCATCCTATGTGGGCCAACTGTGATGGATATAGCCTTAAAACTGAGAGACGTAAGACTCAGTTACCTACTACCTTGACGGATCCCCACTACATCACTTTTTAACGCATGTAATTGCTCATGGACGGCCCCGGTAATCTGCATGCGTCCTCCTGGGCCTATTTAGCAGGCCAACCCAATTACATGTAGGCATCCTTCCTACAAAAGTCAGACGCGCCAGAGGCACATCATCGGGTTCTCGAACCAATCTCAACTGCCGCAGTGCATGTGGGCAACACGAATCAATCTCTCACGTGTTCCAATCTTGCAGCGTAACGCAGGCAGCAGGCTGTATAGGACACAAGGACATTACCAATCAAGTTGCAACGATTCTACACTGTCGAGGAGCTACAGTAATCCCGGAACCACGTATTACCATGGAAACGACACGCACATCAAATCAGACCTGTTCATCTGCCGGGATACTACTATCTACCTGATGGATATTGCTGTCTGTGACGCACATCGGATGGCCCAATCTTATCAAAACAAGATTGATGAATTCGGCGTCCGTCTTCACGCAGCGGTCAGCAGAATGTGTGCACAAACAGCACTCCCGGAAATCTCCCCTACTGTGCATTATCTGTTCATCTTAAACAATAGAGGATATATCCATCCTGCTTCAACGAAACACCAGTTGTCATTGGGCCTCTAGACCTTGGATACTTTCGATCTGTAAAGTTCCACCATCGGAGGAACCTTACGGGTGTATGATGTTAAGATGCGAGGTGCAGTCTACTAACACCAACACTATACAACACAAACACTGACACGTACTTGGTGTGTAGTTCTTGACCGAGTTCACCGAACTTTCATTGTGCCATTTGCTTACTATTACGTCGGGGCATTTGTCCCACTTTGACAAATGTCTGTAGGGCTCATTTCTCGAGCCCTATTTGCTTCTACCGAAAACAAATGTTTCTCGATTGACGGCTTCTAAGCTAACCCGTTCAACATATATTCATTAGTCTCCTGGTTCGTAGTGATATATACGTTTATGTCCAGTAATCGTTAAATGTTCTTCCGCGCTATTTGTCATCTGCCTAAGAGCGCCAACTATTAAGGTATGTGATTGTATGTAATTGACTTGCCGTAAACAGCATACTAGATCTTGAATCCACTCCGAGTTTCGGACAATTCGGAGTTCGTTATTACGCCTATCGAAACGTTATGCCTCAAAGGAAAGCATCGAGTAAACGCTATAGGTGAACAATAATCTCCCACATTTTCTCGATAGCAGCAGACAAATTAAGACGGCAGTAAAGTTTAGTATTACCAAGACAGCAGTTTGGTACACCCAACAGCGTAAGCATGAGTACTTAGAGATACCATAATGAAAGAAGAGATGTACAATAGAAGAGGCGAACTACTTCACATTATGCATTCAATGAAGTTACGCTGGACAATGATACATGAAAGTGTTAAAAATATTTTCACGAGAATTTGGGGTTACACCTTTTAAGCGTCCAATGGCTGGTTAGGGAAATTTAGATTTCGATATAACATTTACCAAAAATTATTATGTGGTGAATTCAATGAATTTTCTGAAGTGAGCGATATTTCACTGCAAAATATCCGATGGCGACATTGTTAACGCTGACGAGTGTGGCCCTTGCAACGTGATGCCTTGCAAGAGCCTTGTTCTAAATGGCGACCAATTTAAAGAGAAACCATTTCAAAGGTCTTACGGTTGTGCTTTGTGTTGCTCAAGTGGTGAAAAGTTAAAGCGTTTGGTCATTGGTAAGTCAGATGGACCACGTATATTCCAATATCTGGGTCGGGAGAACCTTCCAGCCATCTGGATATCAAACGAACGTGCATGGAAGATTGCTGCAATATTTGTCAGCTGCATAAAAAAATCGACTGTGAAATGATGAAGAGGAAACAATTCATTCTACTGAGCGTGGATAAGTATTCCAGTCATATCCATGTCGACAAGCTCACAGACATAACACTAAAATTTCTGTCTTCATATATGAACACACTTCAAACCTCTGGACCAATGAATAATCAAAACATTCAAATCGCATAAACGAACCCAGCTCATGCAATAGGTTAAAGCAAACATTAGTCTTAATCATGGCATGCGGCAAGAACTTCATCTATTGCTTCAGTTAGTGCTCGTGATACTGTGTGTTGGATGAGTTCTACTTGGCAAAAATTTCAGCACGAAAAAATTCAGATGTGCTTCAAGAAAACTGCATTCGTTTAAACTCTCGAGCATAACGCTGTTGGGTTAGTTGACATTCCATCTCCAACGATATATTTTTGGGAAATATCTTTTCAGCCTTTTTCTGAAGTGGAAGATGATTCTTGGTAATTTGCGCTGAACCAGATCCAGATCCTATTTTTAATGCGATACTGACTATAGAACTCCCTACGGGAATAAACAAGAAGTGCCTGATGATGATGATGATGAGGATGATGATGAGGAGGAGGAGGAGGAACTAAGTGAAGATGACGTTGGAACCAAAAAACAACAGCTGGCTGATATCGGGCATCCTTTAAGGTAACTGAACTCATTTGCTGTGGAGGAACGTCCAAGCACGCTGAGTAGTGTAGCTGGTGCTGAGATAGCACTAGTTAGTTACCCTATTAACAAAACAGTTTAAATTTTTCTTCAAAAATGATTTAACTTGCGAAATCAATACTGCATTTTGTTTTATAATAACACTATATGGTTTCAATTCGTCTGCTTTTACTTGAGACCTCGTCTAATGTGTTCGAACGGGTTTAGGTGAAAATAAATTTCATGCCATACTACTCACAATGGGAAAGTAGGTTACGCCAAGTACTGCTATAGTACATCCGTATGTTGAAAACCTCTCCACGTTTACTACTTTGGTCCAGTCTTTTGGGTAGTCAACTTACAGAGGTACTACTGTACTATTATTTCCGTGATCAGTTAATCAATCACGATAGCTGAGACTTAATCATTGCACGACTAATCTTTCAACTTCACGATAACGGTTAAACTGGTAGTGTTATCGCGATTGCTGAGGACCAAGCTACGATACATTAATGAGGCTGCAGAAAGCTAGTAACTACACTCCATAATGCAATAACTTATTCAAGCTCGAATGAAACTGGTAGTGTTTTCATACACACCTATGTTAGCGCACTCAAAATTGTAATAAGGTAATGTTGCAATGTTTATATGAACTGGGTTTTTATTAAGGGAAAATAATAAGAGTATTTCCATAGCAATTTACACTCCGGTCCATGAATTTGAGAAAATGTTCATAACTTTGTTATTTACAACGGTGATTGAAGAACAACGGTTTTCATATATTACTTCAGATCAGTCGCTGCGCTGTCTCTATCGACTAAAAAATGTAGTGCTCCGTTAAACTGCTCATGTACTGTATAAGTGCAACTTACAGATTCCGTATGTAGGTTGAAGAATGCGTCCAGATGCTCTTTGAAATCGGCTGAATTTTGTTGGAGTAACTCTTCAAGGCTCTAAACAATGTAATCAAATGTTTAATATTACATGTATCTTGCTACGCTTTATAAGAAATGAAGCGAAACTTGACCTTTTACCCTTATCATCTGCCGCTACATGAATTTGGATATATGTACAAGTGCTAAGTCAGTAACAAATATTTGAGACAATGCACGAAATTGCTGATGCTGGCAGAAACACAATCCACTTTGCCGGCAAACAAGTATGGATCTGTGGTTATACAAATTGCTAGCTTACCGATATTAATTCAGGTAGCATAACCATGTGGAACTGCTCCAATTTGGAATTCGCTGAGTGTAGATGAAGTATGTATTCATTGTGAGCCATGAAGATTAATTTCATTGATCTGCGCTGCATTAAATCTTGGTTTGCTCGATGCACATTGCAATATCTGTCATAGTGCTAAAACAAGTAGCATAAGGTGCAATCAGTAATTGTAATTGTTTACTCGTGATTGAAGCAGTGATGTTATGTAGGTTAGAAGCATTGAATTTAGTCTTTTTGAGTGAATAATTTGTACGTTAATAAAAAGCCGTCTAGACAAGCAAATCTAGTATATGAGAAACAACACGATCTCTTTCTATACCCACGGAAGAGTCGGTGGAAAGACGATGTCGGTCGTCTGAAATACGCAAGTTTTCGTGCTGATCATTTGGAGGGAATTGACTTTAGCCAAGGTAAATTTACTTTCGAAATTGCATGAGTGAGCACTTTATCGTTCGCTTCCAACGAAGCCGTTGCAGCAAACTCTAAACTACTTTCCTTTAGTTAAATAGTTATATAGTGGTCACTGTTTTGGAAATTCATACCACTGAAGATCAAGAATTTTACTATATACTCATCGTCCAAAATTACTACACACCAGATCTGAGGCACTGATTTCTGACACTAACCTATTAGACGTCTTCAATAAGCCCTACTAGCTGACGCACAGGAGAGAACAGGACGTAACATGCTAAAAATTACTTAATTATGTCTATAGTCGGGTAGCACACTTTGCCTAGATCTGCTCATAATACACGTTAAAGTTTAGATGGTTCACATACATAAATGTTTTGAAAGGTTTCTTGCCAAACGACAAATGCGAAGTGGACAGAAATACCCATGTCTTGCAGTTTATATGACAATATAAATTTGAACAGGCAGTGGATACAAATACTACTGCTAAGGTGTGGAACTTCCCTTGTTTACAGTCCGTAAGTAAAATGCTCATAAAATATTACTAGTGTACTGTAAGTTCATTTACGTAGTCAAAGAAACCAGCCAGATTTATCCTATAGCATTGGGCATTGCCACTGCTTCTGTGAAACGAACGATTCTTTCAAGTGTAGAGAGCGTTCGGAACTACCACATACGCTGCATAAATATTTTAGTAACCAACACAAGAATACCTCACAGATAAGTGTCGGATGACGCTGGAATGTGCTATTAATATCCAGTGACTGCTTTTTATAATGTGTTATCCTTTGCACGCACACTCACAGAATATATTTTTCACCAGTTATTTGCCATGCATTATGTTTCAAATTGTTGTGTCTCTATTTAGGGTTTATCCAGACTATTTCCAGCTGTACCAGATTATCATGAGAGCAAGTTGTTTATTCGCTTATCAGCAAACAGTTTACAATCTGCGCTAATTTTCCCTTTTCCATGTAAATGAGGTTTCTGTCCATTAAACAATGGTTTATCAAATGCGTCTACATTCTATTTACGTTCACTGCATCGCGTAATAAATATTTCGAACCGGCTTGTTGAACCCAAAATAATGGGTGGGGTGCTGGATCGCTTATTCATATAGTATCTGTAAACTTATTTCCTTTTATTGTATATTTTCTGATAATGCTATTTTTGTGTGATCGTAGTGGGAAACGGAATGGTGGAAAATACCGCCATCTGAGTTCATGGAGCCTAAAATGATCTGGCAAAAATTGAATAGGCTTGAAGTCTAACTATATCAATCGTAATTCGATAGCTTGAAATTGTTTCTTTATTGTTAGACGAGCAAAGAGCAAATACACATATAAGCAACAATACCGAAGATGCTAGTCCCATTATTACCAACACCCCAAGAACCACCGGAGGAAAGGAGTGCAAGTACGCACCCAGGGGGCATAATATCTTACCCGTGTGGTTACCATTAACTGCATTACTGCCATGGTTTGTGTTTTAGACAGTGCCCCTTTATATTATTATGGGAGTGTAAGCAACGGAATCCTTCCATCTTTCCCTGCCAGTCTTCAACACTTTGCTCGGTGGAAATCATCTAGACAATGAATGACAAGCTGAATATCATGTATGGCCGTTACTCCCAGCCATTCGTCCTTGTGAAACCTAAAATATTCTGCGGATGTATGACCTGAGCATGATACGGAGGAGACAAAGCCAACATTCATTTGCCACGCTTCCGCGTCATTGCCGTCAGACTGCGGCTAACCATGCAGGAGTTGATTTGAAATTCTCGTGACATTCACATATCGTTAACACTGGTATAGCAAGCTGCAGCCCAGTAAATCTGTAAACATAATTTGCTCCGCTGCAAGAACTACGCACAGTGCCCAGTGGAGTCAGGCAAAACACAGAAGACTGATATGCGCACCAAGTGTTGCTTGATGCAAACTGTCATCGGGCCGATTGATATTGACGGTAGGTCGCTTTAGTGCAAAAACTACATCTGACAGTCTGTCCTGAATCTAACCATATTCAACAATTGACTACTGTGATAACAAACACTAGGCCATCTCTAGTCTATAGCAGTTAATCACCTTCGCAGAGTACGCTTAAATTATATGCACGCCTGAGCAATTTATCTGAGCAACAATAGCTTGCAAAAGTGTGTTAGAAATAAAAACAACTGACTAGCCATTTAAAACACTGCAAACTATTTTTTGATGTGACCAGTCATCGCAAGTACATAACCAATGTGAACGGCATGGCTAAAGTGTACGTAGATTCGCATCGTCGAAGTTTACCTTTTACAATGGCCATATGGAAGTTTACACTGCAGTAGTAAGCATTCACCAGACTAATGAACGTAACCAGGCTATTCCCTCAGCTCTTACAAAAAACACTTTCTAGCGATCTAAAGTGATCCTGAAACACATTCTGCAGATCCAACGTTATTCCTGCGACCTGGACATTCCGAAGGTAGCATATACAGTAAGATGTGGACAGTAGTGCTGGTCCCGTTGTGAACGACTTTTAAGTGCTGACCGGTGCATGGACTTAAATGCGGTCGTCATCAAGTGACTTTAAGTAAATGATAATAGATGCGCGCTTTCATCAAACCACTAGGACATAGAACTGAGTGTTTGTAGGTAATGAACATGAATCTACTCTGTTTTACGCGTAACACTAGAAAGGTAGGCAGGAATGTTACAGCGAACTATGACGTTCACGTGTGATTGACACACATAGTATCGTTCATATTGCATACTTGCAAAATTGAGAGGAAGCGAGAGAGTTAAGATAACTCACCTTTTCCACCTCTTCGTACGCTTCTCGCAGAATGTTTTCTGAATTTAAGAGAAACTCATCCAACCGGGAAACTTGCTGGCGTCCAAACGAAATGACACACCGAAGAGGGCTTAATATTTTATCTTGGCAGCGCAACACATAAGCCTCTTCGAGCTGTAAATAGAAACATGTGTTAAGCAAAAATTAAATGAGACTTTGTGGGATCGGCTAAATATAAGGGAGTTTATTTTCTAGCATGGTTAGACAAATAAGAGTAAAATAACAAAGCCGATTGGAATCAGAACATTTACATTTTCTCGCTCGCTCGCTGGTTTGCTCGCCATTTGTTTGATAAATATGCAATAATAATGTACAGAATAGTAAGCTAGTCTCAGCATCCGTTAATCAGATTATATGAAGCAGCAACCTTTCAAACGCGATGGAATTTGCTCATAAGCAAGAATAACCAGCAAAGTGAACAAATCACGCTTAGCGTAACCATAACATCTTAGACTGAAAGAATACGATTTTATAGTCGACGATAACTGTGTCTGTTGGGTGAGCATGCAGCAGCAAAGAAACTGCAGAAGAAATACTGTAATATTGATCGCTACCTAAGGAAGTCTAATTAAAATCATGACTAAGGCTAGTAGATTAATTTGGCGGCAGAGTATACCGGTTTCAAAGATTCCTAGAACATTTGTTTAACACTATTGTGCCACTGATTGAATCCCTTACTGACTCCTCAACTCCATAACTTCAACATCTGCATTTATATTAATAATAACAATACCTATATTTTTCATGATATGATAAAGTGTGCTCGTAGCGAAACAGATCAGTATGTAACCATTCACTATGCTCTTAGATGGGGATATACATATTGGCAATACTAGAGCATACGGTGCATGTAATATCGGTTTAGTGGATGGTCAAGGCGAAGGACATGGTTTCGAGTCGTCGTTGTTTAGACATTTTTGAAGCCTCTAGGAATAGCTCATCTAGAAATTATCGGCATGTGAATATAGTCGTTACTGTATTCAAGTCAAGGAAAGTTTGAATTTTGTTGACAGAAATTGTCACAATGACACATGAATTAAGTGCAATTGAGATTATTTCGCAGCTATATATATATGATTAGGAGGAAATTCGAGTCGCGTGCCTTTTCTAGCCTTTGGTAAAATTAAAGTAGAATCTTCGATGCAAAACTTGAGTTGCGATTTTTTGACTCTCGAATGTAGGCAGTTTGGTATAGGTCTTTTGTAACAGTTTGTGACGTAAACAATGAATTATGCTTCAATCATCGCATCCAAATAGGTGCGAACTGAATTTGGTTGCAAATCACTCGAGGATTCTTGTTTAATGACTGACATCTGCAGAAGTTCCAGAGAGGTTGTCTTTCTCTTCTGCATGTTACCGAATCATACAATACAATACTCGAAGAAAATCTTGGTGCTGAGCTAGCAAAGTTCAGCTCCAGTATGAGTTGTGTAGATTTTATTGGATGTATTAGACTCAGATCATCTGGCACGTGTTTTCTGTTGTTGACGTTGTTAGAAGGAATTTATGGTGGTTTTGCACCAAATTACCAAATCGCGCCCACACATTTATATATGGTCATGTTTGATTTCAATGAAATAAAACCTTCGAGGATGGTAAAACCTTAAAAAAGGGGCTTGATATTCTAATCGAGGGTACATTTTCTACCTGTGGCACCACACGTCAAGGAACTACAAGTCATCTTGAATTACTAAAACAACGGAACAGTGGAATAATACGGATAGAAAAGACTAGGTTTGACGGGTATCGCAGGAGGGACTGATGTGAATTATGTGGTTCAAAAGAAGTGGTTTCACTAAAGTGAGACAGGTATCCGTGGGTGTGCCATA